TTTTGATAATGCTTGACTGTATGAATTTGTTGACTTGCAAAAAGAAAAAGAACTGTTTTGGCAGCTCATCATGAAAGAAGATTATTCTGCGAATTCAGTCTCTCTTCATTTCTCCCATTCTGGAATCAAATTTTGATTTTCGATGTCATAATTGTTCGGAGTGCATGAAAAAAGCTAATTTCTGGACGGTGAGCGCGGCTATAAACAACTTTATTCAGTGTGCAAGGACACTGCAAAATTTCATTTCGACACACACTGCCAGAGTATCTCGCTAAATTAATAAGCGTTCTCCGGTAGCGTTTTTTTTTTTTAAAGGAAAATGTAGCTAATTCGAGTCTCAGCTTCGAACACTTAGCAAAAGTCGCATGGCTTTTCCCTGGCTTCATTTGTTACCACTAATCCATCCAGTATAAAAAGCAGGGATTCAAAGATCATCTGAACAGAAGAAAGTGAGCATATGAACACCCTCTTTAATTTAACATAAATTGTAAAATTAGGGTTTTTTTTGATTCCAAAATTCCATAACTGATTTCAGAAGTTTTTTGGATTTCATGATAAAAATTCATGTTGCAGATTGGTGATGGTTATGAGCGCCTGCAAAATGCTTTTGAAGCGGAAAACACAAATCAGGTATATTTTGTACTCCTCATCTTTTTTCACTTTCCAGCTACCCGTAAGCCTACAGCCAATCCAGAAATAACATGCTGTCCTCCCTCATCAAATTTCTGGATTCATTCCAGTCTTTTTTAGTTTACACGATAGATATATTGAGCCATGTCGAAGTAGGCTGTCCCACAACTTTTGAACCACACAATTCAAACGGTGCACTTTCGAACAGTTGTAAGCGGCTCAATGCGTTCCGCTATGTGTGCATCGTTCCAAAAACGGATAATATAGAAATGTGAATTTTGACTAGCACTATTTTTGTAATTAACGAAATAAATATCTGCATGTCTTGTGAATCATAGCTACACTTAATTAAGTGGGGTGATATTTCACTTTATATTGATACTCTGTTCAGCTGTTGTTTCATCGTCGTGTTACTTCTTACCATCATTGTCTTTTCCGTTCTTCCCTTTGGGCCTCTCTCATTCACATACTTCCAAATAGCCATTCAGGCGGATCCTTTCCACATCAATAACGTTGTGTTCTTTAAACACTGTGTGAATTCCACTCAGTAATCCGCTTTGTCCATTTCTCTTTTCTCATCCTTGGCACATGACCAGCGCGAAATCCTTGACTTTGAAAAAAAAGGAGTTTTGAAAATTTTGACTGGCATTGCGACATTTGTGTATCTTTTAATTAAAATGATATGAGTATTTTCTGATTCTTTGATTTTTACAAATTTCTACGCTTACTTCTAAACAACGATATTTGGGCAAGCTTGCTAAAAGAAGCTAATCTTTGGTCTCAAAGATTACCTTAGTCTATTCTTGCAAAAATTCTTCCAACTTCTGAATTCTATCAAAAGAATGCGAGAAAATACGACCTTGTACTTCGCATTTTGGCTAAGAAGGATTTATTTTACACTAACGTTAATTTTATAGAGTGTTTGTCAGGTAGTGCAACTTATACTGTTTGTCCTGGATTTGTTCATAGAGAAGTTTCGTCTTCGAGAAATTCTTTCTGGGGAGCGAGCTTATCTACAACTTTTTGCATGTGCAGATTAGCAGATAGCCTTCTTTAAAATTAATTGCCGAAAATACCATTTTGAAAAATTCTCAAAACATAGCACCTTGAATACTTGGAACAGCTGTCGTTTCATAATCTGGCTCTTCACATGTGCAGCTAGCAACTTTTCCGTTGGCTGCGATTTTTTACATTACAAATCCACATCACTGTATACGATCGGATAAGTGGTTCGGTCCAATTCCTACTGATGAACAGTCGGCATATCTTAAGAAAAATCGTCGCATCGTACTATGATTCTGGTTTCATTTCGGTCTTGTTAGGTAGAGGAAAAAGTTGTAAGGGGGTATTACCATATATTATATTATCATAACTTTATCACAAACTACTAGATGCTCACTTGCAACGACACAGATATCCGCTAGTGGCGCAGCGAAAACAATTAAAATGTACCGAAATTAGATTTCGTCAAATTTTTCTGCTTTTTTTCCGTAATTTTCCCTTCCACATCTAACGAACACATATAATAGATAGTCCCTCTATGTGGGAGCATTTCAGTAACGTCATTAAACTTAGGATACCCGTGCTGATTGCTCGGGCGCTCTTGGTATTCTTGGTATCTATGAATTTATCATACAGCGAAAGCCTGCTGCCATTTCGCTGTGTCCAGAAACGACTCTTAAAATGGAACAGCAATAAGCATGATTGGCGTAGTTGTGCTTGAAATTTTTATTTTAGTGCAGCTCCTCGTAGGCCCATTTAGATGCAGCCAGTGACCAGCCACAAACGTCCCCACAAGCCTTGCTCTTCCTTCCTAACAGCTGTTCACACCGTTGCGGCGCCACTAAGAATGGACGAGTGTCCTGACCAAACGCACTGTGCGCTTCAATCAACATAATAGGGCATTCACAAAAAACGAAAAAAAAATAGGCCAAGCTAACTTGATGAAGCAATCGTAGCACCGACATACACACCTGCACAAAAACACCACCGACACTGAAATACAACCGAAACAGACATGCATGAGAAAATACACGGACACCGAGAAACACACCTACACGCGAACAACACCGACACCGGCATACCAGCCGACACAGACACGCATGAGCAAACAAACACCTTCATATCCTAAACGCTAAGGTGATGGCGCAGAGTCGCGTATCCAGGCTAGCAGCTAGCACTGAATGTATTCCCCGGTACAACTTGTTGTTCATCAAACTCATTTCGATGTTTGTTTTTGCGCCTTGTGGTTCGGGGTAACTGCACAATCCGCCACACTTCTAAACTTCCATTCGCCTGTCACTCAGCATGCCTCCAGTTCTTCCCTCATTTCCTCCTGGCTGAGGGCAAAACCTCTTTTTTTGCTCCATCCGCTCTTCCGCCCGTTCTCGGAAATTTTCAAGAATTCTTTAAAAGGCTCAATACTCTATCGTTAGCGCGCCTTCCTGCTTCATTCTAATTACTAGATTCAGTATGTTGGACTAGATTCGAAATTGTATACAGATCCTTCAAAATATGCATGTTTTGTTTTCCCTACAAATCAGCGATTAATAAATTCACAGTTGGCGTCTTATATCAGAAGTTTTGCATTTTCTTGCATAAATTATCGCTGAAAGGATGGGTCAGGTGTTTTTTTTTCCATTTTATTAATTCAGCTCAGCAAAATAGTAAAATAAAATAAAGTATAAGGGTCAGACGGGTGAGTATGGCGCAGATCAAGTAGCTTTACTTTCACGCTGAAAGTCGAACGTCCACCAGTGAGGCAAAGTTAACCCCTCTATGATCCTATTATCCGTATCTGTATTGGACTGAAAATGGTCTAGCCGAGAAGATAAACTTACTACCAAGCAAATCAAGAGCTACTTGCAAACGTCTTTCCCTGTCATAAAAAAAGAGTGCAGAGGAGTTTTTGACAGTGCCATCAGTTTGCACCATATAGTTAAGATCCACTGTGTATTTAAGAGACCTTTTACTAGAATAATTTCAGCCGATCGGTTTCATTCCGAAATACTTCTGTTTATCTGATTAATTTTTGATGTATTTTCATTTTTAGAACATTTATATGTATATGTCGTTAGCACCCTTTGCTTATGGAAAACTTATACATCGAAATCATTTGCCAAAGTTTGTTTGTTCATATTCGTTGTAGAGAGATACACCGACAGCCTTGCCAGCGTGTGGTTGCTTTGGTTGCTTTTGGCAGTTGCCTCGGAATATTTCTGAGTGCCTCTGCCTCTCGCAAAAAATAAATGTAGATGGGATTTTGACCTTGATACCCAGCCTGCTGCACCTGCTAATGATCCGCTGCACAGCATTCTGCCAATGCTTCTTGAAATTTTGCATACCGAAGTTGAAATCATCCGCCATCAGCTCTCATTGAAACAACCCTCGAAAGAATGGACCAGTAATAATCATGCGAGTTGAAGTTTGCTTTTATTTTTTTACCTTCAGAATATTTTCTAGACCATCAGTAATCATGCGAGTTGAAGTTTGTTTTTGTTATTTTTTACCTTCAGGATATTTTCTAGTACTTCCTCTTCCCCTTCCCCCCCCCCCCCCCCCCCCCCC